CCCAATTCATGTTGAAGTCGTGACCCCCAAGGTGATGGTATTAGGAGGAGATTGGGTGAGTCCCTGTGGTGGGATTAGTGCCCTTATTAAAGAGGCCCCCTGCCGTATGGGGACCCAGCGAGAAGTCTGAGATCCAGAAGAGCTCCCTCACCTGACCATGCTGGTACCTGATCTTAGAGGACTTCCATGTAGAACAATGAGAAATAAGTGTTTGTTGTTTATAAGCTGTCAGACTGTGGGGTTTTTTTTGACAGCAGCCCATGCAGACTACGACACTTGGTGAGTGTTCCATACAAGCCTGGGAAGAGGGTGTGTTTTGCCCTTGGTTGGCTAGAATATTCTGCAAATGTCAGTGGGATCCAGTTAATGGATCGTGCTGTTCCAGTGAACTCTTTGCTGATTTTCTGCCTGCTGGTACTGGCAGGGGCTGTTGAAGTCTCCAATTATAACTGCATTTGTCCATCTCTCCTCTCCGTTGTATCAGTTTTTGCCTCATATATTTTGATACTTTGTTGTTAAGTTCGTAGTTGTTTGGGTTGTGATATCTAATTGGAGAACTGAATTGAGTTATCTCATATGTTAATGCCCCCTGTTTATCCAGGATGATTTTCCCTGGTCAGAGAGGGAGGGAGGGAGAGAGAGATAGAAACATCAATAATGAGAGTCATTGATCGGCTGCCTCCTGCATGACCCTGCTGGGGATCGAGCCCATAACCTGGGCATGTGCCCTGACGGGGAATCGAACCACAATCTCCTGGATCCTAGGTCGATGCTCATCTGCTGAGTCACGCCCTCTACTCACTTCTTGCTTGCATGGTTTCTAAGGAGAAGTCTGCTGTTATTCCTATTTTGTCGCTCTGTTGAAAAAATGTTTTACCACCTCTTCTGGCTTCTTTCATGATTTTTCTTTGTCTTTGGTTTTCTGCAGTTTGATGTGATATGCTGATGCGTAGGTTTAATTAAAAATTTTTTAAATATTTATTGAGCTTGGTGTTCTTTGAGCTTCCTAGATCTGTGGTTTGGTGACTGTTATTAATTTGGGAAAAAATTTGGCCACTATTACTGTAACATAAATTTTCTTCTCCATTCTCTCTTTTGTCTCCTTTGCAACATATGTTGCATCTTTTGATGTTGTCCCTCAATTCTTGGATGCTTTTCCTGTCCCTTCTGGCCCCCATTCTTTTTTTCTGCATTTCAGTTGGGGATGTTTCTATCGCCCTATCTTCAAGCTCACTGATGTTTTTCCTCAGCCATGTTTAGTTTCCTGATACACCCATCAAAGGCAATTTTCTTTTTTTATCACAGGTTCTTTATTTTAAAAAAATTTTCTAGGATCTCTTTTTTATTCTTTCTTAGAGTTTTCATCTCTGTTGACCCATCTGTTATTACGCGTTGTCTGTTTTCCCCATTAGAACCATTCACACATTAATCATGGTTATTTTCAATTCCCAGTCTGAAAATTCCTGTGTGTCATATCTGAGTCTGGTTATGATTCTGCTTTATCTTTTCAGGATATGGGTTTTAAAAAACTTTTATTTTTTTAATTTCCCTTTGACATGCTTAATAATTTGTTGTTAAAAGCCAGGCATGGTATGTTTGAAAATAGGAACTGAGATCATGAGCCTTGAGTGTGAGGACCTATGTGAATCTTGTTAGGAGTTGGGCTATCTGCCATGTTTGTCACCTAAACTCTTGGTGCCACAGAGGCTTCAGTCTCTTCCCGTGACCTTGATTTTGTCTCCCTTTTGACTTTGGGCTCCCTCCCTGCTCCTTCAAGTCTGAAAGAGCTGTGAGGTGCAGTGTTAGTGTGCTACAGCCCTGTCGGTGTGGTGGTAAGGTGTGGGGGTCGGGAGCCTTCTGCAATCTTCTGATCGAATCTCTGTCTTCAGGTGCGTCTGTGTTCCCAGGCTGTGACCTTCACAAAAGTTTCTTTTTATATAGCTTTTTCAACCCCCTCAGTGAGACAGGAAGGCTAGAGAATGTCAGTGAGAGGAATGCCCTTTCCCCATGGCTCTGAGGACAGGTTCTGGTCGAGTCTTTCCCCCTGGACAGTGGGCCTTTGTTATGGAGGAGACTCTGGGTGTGTTTCACAACTGGGCGGACTTCCCCCTCCCTCTGCCAGAGCCAAGAGCAGATGTCTCTTGGCCCTCAGATCCCAGGGGCTAGGTCTTTAAACTCAGTTCACAGATGGGTCCAAGAAAAGTCATTGATTTTTAGTTTGTCCAGCTTTTTCTTACTGTAAGGACGGGAGTGATGACCTCCAAGCTCTTTACACACTGGAGCTGAACCCGAGTCCTTCCCCGCCCTGATTTCCCTCGTGACTCCTATCGCCTCCTGGAATTATGTTCTCTATCTGGTGGTTCATTCATTGGTCACCTGTCTTCGCCATTAGAACATAAACTCCTGGGCACTGCAACTTCATTTGTCTCCCCTCATCCCCGGACCCAGAAGAGTGCCCGGCATGTGCTGCGTGAATAAACCGAAGGGAGAAATAAGGTGGCCAAGCTCCCTTGTTGCAGGCGGCTGCTGCTTTGCAGGTTTTCTCTTGTGCTTTGTGCTTTCGGTGAATTGGAAGCGCAGATGAGTGACAGTGCATATGGGAGGTTCCAGATGTCCTCACTGGAGGGAGGGCGTAGCCCACGGTTACCACTGGAAATGCAGGGTTATGATGCTTGCTCGCCTCTCCCAGGGGCTGACGGCCTGTCCTTCAAAGGGTGCTCGTGGAGGTGCTGGGGGCAAGGCCTCCCGGGGCTGCAGGGTTCGCCCAGGCAGCACAGAAGCAGGTGGGCTTCCCTGTGGTCCCTTCTAAGCCGCCAGCTGTTTGGCCCTCTCACTGGGGACTAACCTTTCCCCCTGCCCCTTTGCCTGCCTTCCCAGTACTTTGTTTCTGGGATGGCAACAGTGGGCCTTCCGCACGTCCAGAAAAACAAGATCGCACCGCTCTCCACGTCTTGTTGACGATCCCACCGCCAGCCATGATTCTCGGGAACAGATTTTTAAACCATCACCATCTGTCCTGCTCTTAATGACAAGCGTCCAAGATATTATCCTTCTAGTTCTATCTGGGGAGGGAGGGGGAGATATGTTTTCCTAAAGACCACAGTTCTTGTATGAGGAAGCGTGGACCAGCCACCCACTCACTAAACACAGTTGCTTCTGCCCCCAGTGGAAGCATTTGTAGCAGTTATTTTACTTAAAGGGTGGTACTGGCCCATTTCCATCTATATAAAGAGAAGTTGGGAGGCTCTGGCTGGTGTGGCTCAGTTGGTTGAGTGTCGTCGCCCTGCGCAGCAAGGGGTCGCCAGATGGATTCCTGGTCGGGGCACATGCCCGGCTTGTGGGCTTGATCCCCAGTAGGGGGCGTGCAGGAGGCAGCCCATCGATGNCGCAGCAAGGGGTCGCCAGATGGATTCCTGGTCGGGGCACATGCCCGGGTTGTGGGCTTGATCCCCAGTAGGGGGCGTGCAGGAGGCAGCCCATCGATGTTTCTCTTTCATCGATGTTTCTCTCTCTCTACCCCTCTCCATTCCTCTCTCTCTGAAAAATCAGGAAAAAAAAAAAATACTAAAAAAATTAAAAAGAAACAAGTGATACATAGCTTTACTTTCGTTCCCTTTACTCTCCCTCCAAACCTGCCTTTGGTGCTGGCGCTGCGGGTTCACATCGTTGCCCTTCGGGAGGTACCGGGGAAACTCTCATTTCAGAGCTGAAGAAATAACTGTTTCTAGCACGTGTTGAGGGGCCCTCACATTCCAGGAGCTGTTTCTTTCTGAGTGTCCAGAGCAGTCATTTGCAGGAGTTTGATGGCCTCTAAGGGTTAATTGGGATGTCGTTTTCTGTATTTGGCTTAGAAATGGGTAAGCTTTATGTTTATTCAAATTAGCAGTAATTTAAAATAACAATTTTAGTCTTAATTGTATCTACTCAGGGATCCCACTTAAGTCTCTGGAAATAATTGCAGAGTAATATTTTGGGAAGTTATATTAAAATGCACAGATGTTGGAGGGGAGGAAGTTCCCCGTGGGTGAGCCTCAGCCCCAGTGGAGAGTGCGTCCAGGACAGCAGGTGCCCTGCCCTGTCGCCAGCCCGGCTCTGGGCAAGGCTGCAGGTGAAGTGCCTTTAAACACCTCGCTGCCAGATCTGGCCC